CGGACGTACATCAGTTCAAGTTGCTACACCACATTACCACATAGATGCAGTTGCCGATTCAAATCCCGTAGTGGTAGAGGTAGTAAGAGTATAAGCAATAATCGGAAAATTAGGGTTTGAAGATGTTATTTAAGGAGTATAATCCAGTGAAATAAATTTGTAAAGAAAAAGAAACACGAATAATTCAAAAGATTAGAATTTGGAAGAACACAAAGAGTGGATGCACCTGCACCACTGCAAACGATTTTGAGCAATATCATTCAAGGTCTTTAACCATCGTTTGCTATCATCTCGCGAATCCCAACCAGGTAGTCTACACTTACCAACATGGCTCAGTCCACCTCTCAGTGACTTCATGGATTTGTGCCATGTTTTGGTCTGACCGCCCCTAACTTTCTTCCAACCTACTCCTACACTATAAAACATAACACGTCGGGGCAGTAGGTGGTTACAACACAACTAATCAATAATCCTAATAGTTTCTCATTAAAATAAAACATGTTTCACACTAGTTTACTGTATATTAAGTACATATATTTTTTTAACAAACAAAAAGAAATAGAAATTAATATTTTTTGACGAGTTCCAATTTTTTCATATCACTTCACAAATTAGCTGTATTTTATTTAATCAAATCAAGTAGACATTTACACACAAAAAGTAAGAAAAATTCTAAAAAATTCTAATAACTAAATTTATAGAAATGATTACAAGTGCACATATTCAGTCCTCAATGTGTTAAGGCCAAATCATCTCAGAATAATAACACTAATAGTAGTAATAATAATAATAATAAAATGATATTCGAAACAATTTGGCCTCATCTATTTGTCAAAAAAACGAGAGATTTTCTTTTGTTCTACTCATAATACTGTTTGATAGTTTTCTTCGCTGAATTAATTTAATCATAATTATTTTATTTTTTTTATATTCATTTCAATCAACTGATTTTTTATAAATCTGTACATAATGCTAACTAACACCCGCAGGTTTAAGTTAAAATAAGCAATATAACATTTATAATAAAATTAATTGGCAACCTAATAATAATATACTCACATATAAATATGTTTTCTTTTAAGGACAAATAATCAGTCATTTGAAAATATTTTATGCCTAAGTTTTAAGTAGTATGTCTTACATATAAGTAAATGTTGCCATACGAGTATATTACTTTTTTAAAAATCTAAATATTAATTCATCTTAAATAACAGATTTCAAAAAAAAATTGAGAAAGATTACGTAGAGTTTACCAATAATATTTCCCTTGTCTTCTTTCACATGTATGATCTCTGAATGATATAAAAGTAAACTTAATGAGTTGTTAATTTGCTTAGTAATGAGTTCTAAGTATCCGTAATAGCGTTTTTACGACTAAGTTCTATCTACAATATCGAATAAATACGTCCGATTTTTTAATATTATATTGACTTAGAGCTAATTGTTTTCAAAATGTCTTATTCTTCTATCGTTTTTGATTGTTTACTAAATTAAAATAATTGAAATTTTGTAAAGAATTAATTTATTTCATATAATGACTAGTACGGTTTACATAAAAATAACCGAAATATCATAACTTACAGAAACGGTAGTACAATTATTAGATATCAGTTATGAAATAACTAGCGGGAGTGAAAAATATGCAATGTCTGTTACATCACCTAGATGGATAAAATTACTGCGTTGGTTCATTTAGTGGATAGAATAGATGAAAGTCAAATGATCAAATAATTTCAAGTGGACACATAATGTAGATCTTCTTCACAAATAGTTTAATAAAAATAACCTGGTTTAAGCCATTAAGATAGTTAGGCTGTTTGAATACAATCCATCAAATAATATGACTCAAAATCGATCGAATTTATCAGACTCAAATTCTTCCGGTGTTCGTTCAGTTAGCAGACTACATATGCTTTCATTAAGCGTTATCCATAGTGTCTATTGTTTCTCTAAATATATTTATTACTGTTCACGAAAAGCCTCTAAACAACAGTTAAGAGTTCCTTTATCCATTTACACTAGAGCCATTTTGGATTTTTGGCTTTTAATCAACTTTACAATACTTTATTTGTAATCGAATAAGAAAATTTTAAAATTGGTGCCAATAAAAATTATTAATCTCTTTGTGTCCTATTTTTACGTCTGGTATTATAAGTAAATTTCAACCCAAATAAGACAGGTGGCTGAAAAGACGTTTTATTTCCGTAGCTTAGGTGTTTTACTGAGGCGTGTGTACTGTTCCCTGTTTGACAGCAGTAATTAGACACTTTTCTTCACCTAGTTTATACTACTCATTTTATTAATTTACCGTGTTATATTTTATCATTCCTAATTAAAAAATATATTTACTTATCATACATGAGTTAATATTATAAAGGCCTGTTGAACAGTAAATTATTTTTTAAATATCAATAAAATCAACAGCACAACTACTAACAAAAGAACTTGATTGTTTTAGATCCATAAAAATATTTATCATTCATTTTAACGTACATAACTTAGATTTTAACGGTTTCTTCCCTCTATCTTAAATGGGTGACTGTTTTATAAGCCATATTTATCAAACTTGATTTATTTTTTATATTACTAGAAGTAAAATGAATGAAAGAATATAAAGAGTCACTTCTGTACATTATAATCGATAAACTGAGCAATTAAACAAATAGAAACTTCACAAAGTATAAGGATTCTTACGGATAATAATTCATTGTTTCAATGGTTATATTTTAAAAGCTATGAAAAAATTAACGGTTTAATATTAGCATGTTACGTGTTATTGGGAATGAGTTAATCTATACTGGATTCTCCTGAAAACTATGCTTTGCAATAAAACGGTTTATTTAAAACACTCCTAATCCAACAAAATATTATTTGTTACCAATGAATAACTTTTTTGTTCAAAAGACATTTTGTTCACTTAATATGGAATTATCTTGGTAAAAACCTTTCTCTGGTTGATGTCCTTGAGATTCTCATTTTAAATACGGTACACTGAAGGCTTTAAAGCTAGGTTAAACGTGATATAATAAAAATAACAAAATACATGTATAAATGCCGTTAGATGGTGACTGGAGGTAGTCAACAGGATGGTGGCCAGACTGCAACTCGATCGATAGCATTCGATCTGCACCAAAAAGGACTTGACACACATGACATTGATCAACACCATGTGATCAGTCAGTTGTGATTACAGATGCCTTTAAAAAGAAAAAGGCTAGTTTATTTGCCTCTTGGTTCTAGAGTGCTACATCAAAAGAGAATTCTGCAAAAACCTTGCAAAGTCAACATGTTTCCTGAATACATTTAGAACAGAAAGAAAACCACAAAAAACGTCATTTTGTTAATTGAAAGTTTTTAAGATTGGCTGGGGTTTGAGAAAGCTTTTGTGGAATTTTATCCTGCCTGAAAGCAAATTTAATGAGTTAAATATGTTTTCTTAAACAGTTTCAGAAAAATAAAATGGAAGTCCAGATAAATACATGTTGCCCATAAAAATTAAACATAAGTCGTCATTCTTGCTGGATTTTGAGAATAACAAATTTAATAGGTAACACCCATTTTTTATGATAAACGGACTGAATAAATAAGGTCGTCAAGTTATTTATGAATTAAAACAGGTAAATTCCTGATGTATTAAACAATCAAGACTGTGGTAATCTGGTTCAATATTCATTTTGGAATTAATTAGCATACTTGTTGGAAATGAAGTGTAACAGACAAAACATTCTCCTTGTTTGTATAGGATCGTATCAGTCGTTGAGCTTTAACAAAGTGTCTGACGAAATACAGAAAAGAATGACGTATCTCTGTTACCTTTATTTTACACATCTTAAACGATTAAGAACATATAGTTCTGGTTTACAAGTTACCAAGGCTGTTTTGATTTCAATAAACGAGGTATCTATAAGGTTAAAGAAACATTTACAAGTTGTTCAAAATGAAGTAAGAATTTTGGAAACTACTTTACTACTCTGAAGTGTGAAAAAGTGATATGCGCACTTATGGTAAAGTTAAAAACCTTTATAATCAATTTCTGAGGTAACTTGCATTTAAAAACAACATTTATTAAGAGCAACATATGCCATAAAGAGTTAAAATGATTTGTCACCTATCATTCATGAGAATCAAAACCACACATGGTGTAACTTATTTATGCAATGGAAGTGAAATACTACACAGAAATCGCTCAGTATAGCAATATTAAAACATAAAAGTGACACTTATTGATCCTCATTTGTCAGTTTTGCCCTCAACGTTAGCACAAAATATTGTTAAAATGTTTTAATAATGAATGACTTCTTTTACAAGGATAACTTTTGATGTAAACATGTATGAACTAGACAGCTTTCAAAACATGCAAAGCACTTAGTGATTTTGTTGTCTTTAGTTTCTCACTCTATAAAGGTACATGTCTAAGATTTTACAATAAATTGAATACAAAGTTCATAAGATATGTAACTGTTGCCTTTCCATTGCATCAATGTGTTAAAAGCTGTAAGCCAACTTTATATTACTCATGTTCTTCAAATAATTTTGTAACGTTTTCACTCCATGGCAGTTTTTACATAAGTCGCTAAACGATAAGTAAAAACACTGAAACCAGAATAGGTGTTCAAAACATTTTAATTCTCATAGGCTCGTTGTAATAAAACCTACCAGAAGATTACATTTTTCTCTTCAAACTACGCTGTTTTATTTCTTATTTATCTTTACTTAGAAAGATTTATGTCTTCCTCCAAACGGTGGGCTATATTTAATCTGATTCATCGGCTTGACAAAAAAAGGAACACAAGGATGTTGCATAAATCTGAAAGATTAACTTGGATTGGAAGTTAAACTCTAGACTTTTGAAAATTCATATAAGACCTGTTTATGGCACTTAGTAAACAAACAAAGAACTAACGACAATCACTGAGCGTCTTGCTGATTTTGTCATTAACCAAATTAAGCAATATTTCCTGATTCTACCAAACTGTATGTAATTCTGAACAACAACTTACATTCACTTCAATCGGTTTGAAATTGGGAGCTACTTTATTTTCCTCCTCGCTAGTCCCTCTGAAATTGGATTTCTTAGGAGAGGAGTTTTCCGGACAAACGTTGTTGTTGTTCTGCACCGAATTTGATGTAAATGATTTTTTTACACGCTTTGACTTAAAATAAACCTTTTTTCTTATATTTATATTAGATCTTGGAGAGCAATTAATAATTGAGCTACATAGCATATTACTGGCAGCATGCTTTAGGGTTTGAGAAACAAAACCATTTCGAACATCGACGTTAGAAACCATGTTGTGTTCAGTAGCATTTGAGAATGCATATTCTCCATCTCCTTTTAAAGTTGGAATTCGACTGTGTTCAGACTTTTGTGCTAGATCACACCTATCCGGTTCTACGTTTGCGGAATAGTCGTGGTTTTCTTTATTTGACTTATCTGAGTTGTGTGCTTTTGCCTCAACATGTGACGGCAAAGTTAAAATAAAGGGATCAGTGGTTTTATTTTTTTCTGAGTTTGTCAAGTCCACTGGTAACTGTAAACTGGTTTGAGCTTGACTCTCAGATACATAAGTACTCGAAAGCTGATTAGACTGTTCAAAGGCCACGCTGGAAACTCGTTTGTACTCATTAATCAACTCTTGATTACTGACTGCAGTGTTATTGGACTGAAAAATATCAGTAAGAACAGCCGACAAATTTACCGAAGAATATGAGCTTGAGGTGTACGGTGGTTGAACTGGAAAGTTAGTGATGTTATTTGACTGTCCACCCCAAGTGGGATTGTGAACTGGAGAATTTATACTGACATCATCTAAATGTTGATGTGGAAGTGAATTATAGGAGAGGGAATTTTGGATCATTCCAAAATATAATTCCACAGATTGTTGTAAAGCGTAAGCTCTGTCTAATAACGACTTATAACAAACAGACATGGCTTCATAATTTGGACAATTAGATTTTGGAACAGGTATATTAGTTATGCAAGTGCTAATAGAATTTAAAACATTCTGCCGCCAATCTAAGTATGTTTCATATTTTGTAGAAATGTGCTTGTAAAGTTTATCAATTTCTTTAGAATTTGAGTAGTAGAACTCATCATTATAAGATCCATTAGAAGGGCTTTGCTTGTTCGAAGTAACTGTCACAGGATTTGTAGAATGATTCAAATGGGTCGAATAAAATAAGTTTGACAGATTGTTGGAAAGAGAACTGCCTGATGTTTTATCAAACCCATGATTGACTTCCGCTAATGATGGGCACGTAGAAAACGATCCACTTTTAAAATCATTCGACGTTTTATACTTCATGAGAAAATAATTTAACATAGCAGTATAAAGTCTAACGTGTTCCGGAGATGCAGTTACATTGCCATCACTTGAAATTTCACTTGAGTGTTCTGTACCGTTTAAGGAAGAAGGTGGAACATTACTTTCTTTTGTAACCAAATTTATAGGGCCAAATGGTGAATTTTTAAATATCATTTTGACATCTTCTCTTGAGTCTTCTTCTGTTGATTCCCGTTTCTGAGGTGCAGCGGTCTTTCTTTTGCGTTTGTTAGAGCCATAATAATATTGCTCATCAGATATATCGTATTTGTTATCGATATAAGTGTCATTGAACTCATTAAATTGATGCATGGCATGTATCATAACACCTCTTGGCATAATATTTCAATTCATTAAACTGCCTTTAACTGTGATCGATGAATGACGAATTCACGATACTGAATGTCTGTTTAAAAAAGTACGTCATGAGCTATTGTGATACAGATACTAATTGACTCCGTAAAACAAAACAAACTTGCACCACGAATGTTATTCTGCGTGAAAACCCAAAAGTTAACGTTCGAAAATGAAGGACTATTTAAATACAAAAATTAAACCCAAACTTAATTTTTATACACTCATTCTTCAGTTATATGTGTAAGGTAACAATGGTCCTTATTCCTTTCAAATGTAGTATCAAATTTCGAACGATTGAGTAGTGCAAGTAAAATTTCACTGAGCTTTAGACAAGACATTCGTCAGGGTGAACAGTTTTTACGTTGGACTACAGGTCAATCAAAGTCTGTCGAACTTCATAAAGGACGAAGGTAACTAACGCTCATTATCCATTTGCACACTAGTGACTGGTCAGTGCTTCTAAGGCCTCACTCTATTTACGTAATCAATCGTTACAAATGCATTCCTTCAAAAGCAGTATGTTTGTTCTATGTCGTCAGCAAAGTAGATGCAATACCTGGATACCACGAAGAGTAATCTGCTTTAAGTACTGACCGCGAGTTGTGACTTATATGTAAGCTAGGTCGCACAATTCCTCTTCAGATCGAGTAGACTGTAAACATCAGAATAGATCACTGGCACTGGTGGATTACAGCCTCGTTTACTCTGCAGATAAACTTTGTAGGACCATTAAATTCAAAATTATTTTGAAAGATCGTCTAAGTCTACCAAATAAAAATTATTAGGTTTGATCAGTGGTGTATACCTAGTTTCAATTGATAATTGGAGTAATTTGATGAGAGTCTAAAACATAAGTAATTTACTTATTCTTTACATGTCAAGATGTGTTATCTAAACGTCATTTCCTTTAACTCCTACTTATCATCTCTTTTTGACCACAATCTCAGTAAGAATGTGGTGAAAGAGTACCCTAATGAAGTATACGACTTATAGTGGTTGTGCTTCGTCGTTCAGTCACCCCCGTAACCGTTACCATATAATCCTCGACGGTGTTTGAAACCGGAAGACAAAGAGAAGCAGCCATTACAGTTTTATTCGCAGATAACTCAGATCACAAAGCGGAGATGGAATTGAATGAGTCTGCGAACCGAGAGTGTACATTGTTAAATGTACATGTGTATTTATAGGGAAATGAATGGATCATCGAATCAACTAGTCAGCTAATAATAAAGCTAGCAAAATGAATATATGCGTAGGCAATAAGCAATGTTCAAGCATACATATTTCATACAAGCACAACAGTAATAAAGGTACAATATTGCTTATAGTACGGATGACTTTGTCCCTTAAAGAAGTTAACAAAACGGCTTAACTGAGTTAAATAAGAACCAACTTATTTGGTATAAAAGCTCCCCTCTGCAAGCAAAGATATATGGAAAAATGTCTGTGTTTGCACAAATAATAATAAACTGAATAGAGTAGTTATAAGCGTTTGAAGATATGGGCTTATACAATATGAAAATGAAGCTAGTGTGTGCTGTGCATTTAATTCGTGCCTGTCCGTGAGGTTATATGAAATAATAGTAAGAAATGAAAAGAATGTGGTATCGTGTTTTTAAAAGAAATTATACATATAAGTGTAAGAGTACATTAGATATGCCGAATTCTATAGTGTATAACATGAGGTTAATATCCATATGTAAACAATGAAGTGGGAGAGGTATAATTAATATTTAAAATAGTAGAAAATTATAAATAGAAAATTACAGTGACAGAGCGTTGATGCCATCTTACTCTGCTGCCATATCATGTTGTTACCGGAGTCTCGTCTTTTTGCTACGTTAACGCCGTTGATTCTTGAGTCTCGTGTTGCTTTGGTGTGACCATCTTCGAGGAGTTTTTACTTGTTGATTAAATGTCGCTATCGATGAATGCTGGTTTCACTCGATTGATGCTGATTACATCTGTCCTCCCAGCTTTTTCTATGTAACCGTTTTGTCTGTCCTCGCTATCACTAGGCCGTCGTAACTCTTCTAATGAATACGTGAGTGCTGTTATGCAGTTCCTGTGGTATGAATACTCGTTGTTATTGTGGTCTGGAAGGTGTTATTTTTAGATCGTTCATGTGATTTCTCAGGCGTTGTACATAGTTGGCTACATCAGTCTGAACACATTTACTTGAAGTAAAAAATTCTCCGGATAACCGTAGTGTAGTTCCGTATAGCGACTCGGCTGGGCAATATCCCATATCCTGTTTAATTGTTGCTCTTAGAGATAAATTAATTGGCCCAATCGTTGTTAACAATGACGGATGTAAGGGACGCTTTTAATTGCCTATGTAGGCGTTCGGCCATTCCGTTTACCATTGGATGGTAACATGTCGCTCGAAGTCGTTTAATACCGAGGAGTTCTGTAAGCTGTTGAAAGAGTCGACTTTCGAATTATGCCCCTCTATCACAATCTGAGAGGGGTTCCATTTCTGAGCAGTCCATGAAAACCATGAAGTCACAGTACAGTATTCTCGCGTACATATAATTATCAATCATGTAATATATCCGCATGAATTTACTTTAATTTACCTTCATTTATTTTATCAATCCTATCCTGAGCACTCCTCCCAATTTGTTTCGGATTCCTATTCATTCTTTTCACTTATGCCTTCAATTCCCAACACAACATAATCGTTCGTCACTCTCTTTCCCTTCAACTTCACAACTTCATGTTAGAAATTACCACATGATGCAGCTTGATCATTTATGTAATATATATCCCATCCACTCTCAGAGTCTGTCCACAATATCCTCTTCAGCTCGAAGCTGGTTTGTTCTCTCCCACACTACGTTGTTTCTACCAGCATCCAGTAAACCGACATTGAGCATCTTGTGTACACAACTGTTTATAAATGCTTGTACCTATTCGATGATAGTTGTAGTAGTTCTCCACGTTTCACCTCCATACACTACAACTGTCTTGACATTCGTATTGAAGATCCTCACTTTGATATTGGTTGATGGTCGTTTTGAGTTCCATATGTTCTTCAATTGTACCAATGCCACTGCTGATTCGCCAATCTATACTTTCATATCTGCATCCGATCCTACTTGTTCATCGATGGTACTGATCAGGTAGGTGAAGGTTTCCATATCTCCAAGAGCTTCTCCATCAAGTGTGATTGGTTTGGTTGGTGTTCTCCATGTTGTATTTGAGGATGTTGGTTTATGTCATGTGTATGTTGGGACTTACTACTACAGAGACTGCTGCTACATTAGTTGTATTCATCTGCATTTGGTGGTATGTATGAGATGTTAGAGCTAGGCAATCTGTGAAGTTCAAATCGTCTAGTTACATCCAACCTGTCCACTGTATTCCGTTCTCCACTCCTCACATGTGGGGGTGTTCATAATACAGCCAACCAACAGAAGAAAGAGAAAAGGTGAGATTAAGTAGACTTGTTTGACTCCGGTCCTCTCTTGGAATGCATCTGTTGACTGTCCTCCATGCACGATTTTTCAGTATAGTCTGTCGTATGAATTTCGTATGACGTTGACAATTTTCTCAGTCACATTATAATATCGAAGACGGTTCTTCAATGCTCGGTATCACAGTTGGCGCGCATCATGAAAGTTGAGTTGCGAATGTGCAACTGATGGTCAAGGGTAGGTCCATTGAAGGTGGGAGCTTCCAGAAATTGCTACTTCATGTCCCTCTGGAATATCTAATGCTCTAAGGATGGTGCAGGATTAAGTCACTCGTTTCATATCTCAAGGGGGCTGGAAGAGAGAGCAAGTTAAAGAAAGGACGAGATGCAGATCAGCCAATATTCATGGAGGAATGTTTAAGGAATGATTACCCAGTCTAATTTTGTTTTATTAAGACATTTGTTAAGCAATAGCATTCTAATAGGTTAAAGAAAATATGTGTAAACAAGGTATGAGTGGACATACAAATGACAAATGGAGGCGATTCAGAAACGAGCTGAGAGTTTATGCGATTATGTGTGGTTATAAAATATAGAGCTAAAAACAGTATTGTGATATACAATATGCTTTTTTATCGAAGCTATTGGAGCCCTTTTCATTTTTTCTTTGCATTATTATTATTTTAGGTATCACAGGGTCTTGAGTAGGCTTTGTATATTAGCGAATTGTCTAGTTTGTTTGTAATAGGATTACTGGGTAGGAAGTGAAACCAATTCAACGTTCGTAACACGACTTATTAAGACATTTTGCATGATAAATCAACATTAATACCTTAAGTTCGTGATATCCCACTAAACCATAAGGAGCCATAATTAAACAAAATGTTCTGTACTTGACAGTTTCAAATAAATTGAGTATTGGGTAGAAGGTTAATAATAAATATGGTTTTTGCCATATCACAATGAGTAGAAAAATTGTATTTGTGGATTCGATTAATAAGTTACTCTGAATAAGTGGCTTAAATTAATTCACGAAACGTCAGAAATACAATTTTTCCACTCATTAGGATATAACAAAATATATTTTTTTTAATCTTATGGTCTACTTCGTTATTGGTACTGCTATAATATTAGACTTTATCCTAATATTTCGCATTTGTCATGATTTTAACGCCTAATCTATGAGATCTTACGCGGTAGTCACATCAGTTTCTACACCTACTCATCGTATCGCAACCATCAAAAATATATGGTTGTGAACACAATACGGCTGGAGATAAAACAATATATTTAATAAGGATAAAAGATATAGGCTACACAAGAATGATTACACCTACAAGGCCGAGCTATACCATCCTAATTAATTTAACTATTTGAATTTATTATTTCTCCTTCTCCATCGTCATGTTTTTCTCCGCGTTAAATGTTGAATATCCATTTTCCCAGTTGTGTCGTTTTCAAGTTTGAGGATTGTGTAGTTAGTGCCTAATGACACAACATATTATTAATGATTTTTATTGTTTCGATTCGGTCTGTGAACAATCGATCCTTATGTAATCCAGCC